AGGGGAGGGTGTGGAGGAAGAGGGGAGAGTATGGAAGAGTAGGAGGGGAGGGTACGGAAGAGGAGGAGGGGAGGGTATGGAGCAGGAGGAGAGGAGGGTAGAGTACAGAGGAGGAGGAAGGGATGTAACGGAGGAGAAGAGGACGGTATGTAGGAGGAGGTGGGGAGCGTACGGAGAAGGAGCAGAGGCTATGGAGGAGGAAGAGGGGAGAGTACGGAGGAGGTGGGTACGAAGGAGGTGGAGAGGGTATGGAGAGGAGTAGGGGAAGATACAGAAAAAGAGGAAGGGAGGGTGCGCAGGAGGAGGAGGGGGTATTGAGTGTGTGGTCCTCGTTTTCCTCCGTACCCTCCCCTCCTCCTTCTCAAGAGCTCCGCTCCAATTCCGCATTACAGTGATTTGTAAAAGTCTTTCAGTTTTCTGTCTTTTTTTTTTTTCAGAGACTTTTTAGCATTAACTGCCGGGATAGCAACGTCAGACAGCATGACAATCCAGCTTCTGTGATGCCCTTTATTCCCCCTTCGGGACCATTTTCGATTTATGGGATGACGGGACGCTAAAGCACACCAGTCGTAGACGCGTATTCCAGGCACCGTAGCGAAGCTACGTCCGTGCGGGTGTGTGTATATCTCAAGCATTCTCGCACTGCTTTACACCGCAATCACGCCGCTCATACATCGCATGAAAAAAAACACGGTGTTCGTTGTTGACAGGGTAACAGAGTTATCTGCGGATATGTCCGCGGAGATTTATGACCAGTGTGACTGAACCTTCATATATGAGGAAGAAATATGCCGCAGACACTGTCTGCAGGCTGTTTTTGTTTTTTTTTTAATATAAAACAGAAGTATTTTACAACTCTGCAATTGCGTACTCCTATAACCTTCGCTGTTTATACGCTCGTTAAAGGAGGACTAGCAGAAATATTCTTCCGCCTGGCGGAAAGTCCTCCTCGCCCTCTTTCTTCTTTTATTGTAGCACGGCGAGGCGAGGGGAAAGGTCTCCTTTTGCGCCGGCTTCTTCTGAGAGGATAAGCCGAGAAAATCCCCATTCTGAGCGACGGGCGATCGGTGCGGCAGCAGCGACCTCGTGACTTAGAGGTGGCTTCAGCTCCTATCGCGTAATCTGCCCCATTTTTTGGCGCTCACCAAGCCTAGCCCCTCGGGTGTAGGTTTTACGGAGCTGCAAGGCTGCGCCCGCGCAGTCACCGAATTTCCGCTGTCGAAGGTCTTTAGTTTAGCCCGTGGCAAAGTAAACGCATACTTGAGAGCTGCGATGCATCCCCGCACCCATTGAAGGAATATTTTCGGTTGATCAAGGAGCTCAAAACACATGCGCGAGAAGTGGTGACTTGAATATATAAGGATGACTCACATCTTCACAAAATGTTCCATCTTGAAAAAAACGGCTTATCACGCTCAAACCTGCCTCAAATTGGGATCGATGGAGAAGAGAACGATGTACCAGGCGCGGGCATCTTCTAGAAGGTCTCTGTTTCCTAGCAGCGAGCACAAACATTGTGTGCGTAACTCACACTATATGATGGCCAACGAATGTATGTGACATTTATATTTACGCATCCCAGCAACCACATGAGGTGAGAAGGCAGCTATGGTGTGTGTCGATACTAAAAAGTTCTAGTGGATCGTCTTTAGCTCTTGGATAACCGCACCCTACAACAATTTATAAGCTATAACCTTTCTGTGAGCATTCTTGATCGAGTGCGGCTATCGAAGCGTCTGATTTTATAGTTCAACGTTGCTTAAATCGGCGCTATAGCACGTGCTGCCACTTTAAAGTATTTCTGAGGCATTAAAAATAAAAAATAAAAAAATCAACTGTAGCCTTTTTTTAACATAATACGCGTTTGTAATTTGTCTGTGCAAACACATTTTAGTTAGCACGGACAAACTATTGCCGGTCTTTCTGATTTTGTTTTTTAGAAATAAATGATATTTAGAAAACTGTCAATGCAACTATCCAACCTAAGTGGCAGAGCTCAGTGCTAGACAATACATGTTGTTGGGCAGAAATAGTAAAAAGCGCCGATGTCGCGTTCGGGCTAAAACTGCCACGTAATGCACGCGTACCGCTACAAGTGCGTCCGGACATTTCACCGAACTCCGTTTCATCGAATGCCGTTTCATCGAATGCCGTTTCATCGAAGCCGTTTCATCGAACGCCGTTTCATCGAACGCCGTTTCATAGAAGCCGTTTCATCGAACGCCTTTTCATCGAACAATGTTACAGTCTGCAATATTTTGGAATTTACTTTAATTTTTATACACAACTTTATCTCATTCTCTATTTTTTTTTTTCTTCTTTTGTTTCTGCTTTTATATCACTGGGTGCAGTGGCGAGATAAGTTCCATCGTGAACATATCCTGCTTCGAGAAGAAAGCCTCCATGAAACAATGACCCCTCTCCATGTCACATGAAACAATTAAAAATGAGGCAAAAACAGAAAGCACAGAGGCTTAAAAGTGTTTTAAGTGTCTGTCCTTTATTTGCAGCGTCGTGGTTTCAGCCATGTATGTACATGAGTAAGGCTTTTCAGTAAGTCGCATACCCAATTGTTTTTATTTCTTTTTATGTCAATTGCTTTTATTTTTAGTAATTTGACACCACCTTCAAAACAATTTCTCAAGTGACTACCTTAGTCTTAACAAATGCAAGGTGAAACATCTATAAAGCACTGTTATGCCCCAAAACTCGGTACAGAGCCATAACTGAGAAATTCGATGAAACGGCCCTTGGCGATTCGATAAAACGGCGTTCGATGAAACGGCGTTCGATGAAGTGTCCGTTCATTCGGTGAAACGGCTTTCGATGAAATGGCGAAAAAGTGAGGTTCAGGCTTGGTCGGAGATTGCTACGGTTACACACGTACGCTTTATCAGTTCTATCTCGCATAATAAGCTTCTTGCTCAAATAAACAGGGGCATCTGACTTTTCGCTCATCTTGGCCTTTTGCGCGACTGTTAACAAGTTCTAAAACAGACAAAGCAAAAGTGATTTAATTAGCTCAGGATTATAGGTTGAGCGAAATATTTACAAAGTTCAAGGTTCCCTGAGTCGTCTCTTGTATTCAATTCCCCCTCCTCTCACCACCACTTCCTTTCCTCCAAATAAATAACGTAGATTATTTTATGAACCACCTGTAATAGAGCGTACTCACAAAACGTCTATTTGGCGTAAGAAAGCGTAAGAAAGGCCTTGTTTAAATGTTCGAGCAATGAACTTGTTTTCTTACTGTGCGTGACACAGCTAGCACGAAACACAATATTGACATTTTCAAGCAAGGGCCATGCAGAATTTAGTGTATAAGAACAAATTGATGCCTCGTAGGTTGGTGCCCAACGGAAGCACTTTTTACCGAATTGCTTGTTTAAAAATAACAACTTTTCAAACATAAAAATAAAACAAAATAACACCACTTTTTTGGGGGCCACTAAATTTACTGATTTACTATGTTAGCGTTGATTGTGTAGCGGTATGCGTACATTACGCGACACTGTTAGCGCAAACACGACATCGCGCTTTTTGCTATTTTCCCCAGCAATGTATCGACTCGCACTAAAATCTACCGCTTAGGTTGAATACTCGCATTAACAGTTTCCTAAACATCGTTCTCTTCTAACAAAAAAAAGTGGGAAACACCGGTGATAGTTTGTGCTAACTGCGTAGCGTAGGGTACCTAAAAGTTTTTTTACAATGTTAAATGCAATTCTGTGTCACGTTAAAAAAAATTGTCTGCTTTTGCCTTAGTTTCTTTGAGACACCGCAAATACTTCGAAGTGGCGGTCCGTGCTATGGTACCGATACAAGCAACGTTGAACCATAACACGACACGCTAGACTCGTCAAAAAAGGGTTTTAATATTGTCTTTTCGCTCCATAGCCGCACTCGATGAAGAATGTAAACAGCGAGTCTAGCTTACATTTCGTTGTGGGGTACGGACCGTATACGGTTATCTAAGTGGCTAAAAGCGACCCACTAAAACTTTCTAAAATTGACATCCACCCTTGATGCCCTCTCACCTCAGGTGCTTGTTGGGAATGTGTAAATATGAATTTCATACATTTTGCTGCCCATCATGTTCTGCGAGTTAGGTACACAACAGGGCATTTTAGTAAATCGTTTTCAAAGGCCCGCTGCCACTTCAGGCGCGCGCTTCAGAGAATGCATCGAAGTGGCAGCGCGAGCTCCCGCTAAATATAGCGTGGCCTGAAAACATAGTCTGCTAGAGTTCTTCAATAATTTGTGCTCGCTCCTAGAAAACAGAGACCTTCTAGAAGATGCCCGCGCCTGATACATCGTTTTCTTTTCCATCGATCCCAATTTTGAGGCAGATTTGAGCGTGATAAGCCGTTTTTTCTTGAAGATGCAATGTTTTGTGAAGATGTGAGTCATCCTTACATATTCAAGTCACCACTTCTCGCGCATGTCTTTTGAGCTCCTTGATCAACCGAAAATATCTATGAAACGTTCCTTCAATGGGTGCGGGGATGCATCGCACCTCTCAAGTATGCGTTTACTTTGCCACGGGCTAAACTAAAGACCTTCGAAAGCGGCAATTCGGTGGCTGCGCGGGCGCAGCCTTGCAGCTCCGTAAAACCGACACCCGAGGAGCTAGGCTAGGTGAGCGCCAAAAAATGGGGCAGATTACGTGATAGGAGCTGAAGCTACCTCTAACTCACGAGGTCGCTGCTGCCGCACCCATCGCCCGTCGCTCAGAATGGGGATTTTCTCGGCTTATCCTCTCAGAAGAATCCGGCGCAAAAGGGGACCTTTCCCCTCGCCTCGCCGTGCTACAATACAAGAAGAAAGAGGGCGAGGAGGACTTTCCGCCAGGCGGAAGAATATTTCTGCTGGTCCTCCTTTTTAAAGGCGACGAAAGCAAAACAACCTGCGCTACGCGTTGGTTGAAAAGAGAGGTATGGTATGGGGCGCGACAGAGCCTTGCTCGGAGTGCGTTTATGCGGACGGGCGTTGCTGCGTAGGTCCGTGTCGGGTCGCATGGTGGGCAGTGTGTGGTGGTTCTTCACGCTCATCATCATCTCGAGCTACACGGCCAACCTGGCCGCCTTCCTCACCGTCGAGAGGATGGTGACGCCCATCAACTCGGCCGACGACCTCGCCAAGCAGACCGAGGTCGAGTACGGCACCCTCTGGTTTTCCTCCACCCAGGAGTTCTTCAGGGTGAGTGCCGTCCGCCGTACACTATCGCCACAAAAACTGGTGTGTTAGTCATAAATAGTGCACAGGGTGTGTTTTTCTTTTATTCTTACACGTTTGTTTAAAAAAAAAACGTGAAAGCTACACTAATGCGGTTTGTGCAGGTCGGTTATACGGTCAGGTGCACATTATGTGGGTGGCTAATCTTTGGGACAAGTAGGCTAATTAAATCAAATTCGTTAATTAACTTTTTAATTAGTGGAAATAGACATATGGTTCCAATTGGAAACATGCTGAGCGCCATCCAAAACCCCTAAGTCAGTAATTTTTAGAACGACTTTGAGAGTGTGAGAAGCGCAGTAGTGCACTAAAGTTGCCACTTGTGGAGCAGGTACAAGGCTGGGGCTAGATAAGAGACGGAAAAATTACGCGGGCACCATACCGCAACCGCCAGTCTTGTACCTGCTCCACGAATGGTAACTTTAGTGCGCTACTACGCTCCTCACGCGCTGAAAGTTTTTCTGAAAATGAGGGATTTAAGGGTTTTGGATGGCGCTCAGCAAGTTTCTAATTGGAACCATATGTCTATTTCCCCTAATTAAAAAGTTTAATAACGAATTTTAATTAATTAGCCGACTTGTCCCAAAGATTAGCCACCCACAATGTCCGCCTGGCCGTATAACCCACCTGCACAAACAGCATTAGTGTAGCTTTCACTTTTTTCTTTTTAAACAAATGTATAAGAATAAAATAAAACACCCTGTAGATATATATATATACTGTCAAGATCGGTTATAACGAAGTCGGTTATAACGGAATAGCGGCTACGACGAAGCGATCAAAATTGCTCATTCCTTTTTGCACTTCGTTATAACCGAAGTCGGTTATAGCGAAATATTGGATATAGCCAAGTGATTTCCGAGTCCCGTTGATTTCGTTATAACCGGTTTCGATAGTATATATATATACATACATATATATATACTCTATTATTGCGGTTCAATTTTGTCATTTTTGACAAAATACTTGTACACAGCGCGACAGTGTCGCGAGCAAGCGATCGTCAGTTTTATTTTTAATTTTATTACTATTATTATTATTATTTCTTATTCATAATTAAAAAAAATTAACTACCAATGAGGTTTGAGGTGCTTATATGGGGCACCAACCTAAGGGGTAAAATTATTTTGCTTCAAGCCAACGTGCTTTCGAAGTTCGACTAAAAAAGTGCCGATGTTGCGTTCGCGCTAAGTGTCGCACAGTGTGTCTAACTAGGTTACGTTAGCGAGTCGTCAAGTGACCTGGTCGTGACGCCCGCAAACCGTAGTAGATGACGTCACTTCCGTTTCGCTTTCTTATGTAGGATCCTACCTAAATGACCAAGTATAAAACGTATGTTAGGTTAGAAAGTTGTCAACTATGGGGCCCATCGGAGCTTTAGCGCGATCAACAGTCGTTTTGACTGTTCCTATAACAACAGCTTTGCACATGAATACTTAATGGTTGGTTGGGGTTTTATGGCGCAAAAGCCTCTTAGGCCATGATGCGCCAGGTACATACACTATTGCAGATAGGGTTTTGAAGAGGATAGAACTTTAGTAGTTGATGATAGGTTAAAATTATGTGTATGACTTGTAAGTAGTTATGAGCATGAAGTTGGGGTGTAAAATCATAGTCGGTGTAAAAGGCCGATAGCTTTCAACATGAGTACTTCATGAAAGTGGAAAGCGCGAACCTTGTATAGACTCTCAGATGGACCCGAAAGAAAAGCGTGATTCAGGTATCGGTGAATCTTCATGAAGTTAAAAAGGCTTGGTGTTCATGGCCTTTTTCAAGGTCAACGGGATATTGAGCTCTTGATTTTATTTTCCAAGTCAACATGAACTTGAGGTCTTATTGACATTTATGTGGTCAGCGTAACCTTGAGGTCTTGAGGTGTTTTAAGAAACGTCAGCTGTTAGTTTCAGGTTCTTCGGGTTAACTTTTTATACACGGTGTTGCCACATTTTTATTAAGGTTGTGCTTCGTGCGTGCGGAAAATATAATGAGGCTTATATTTGAAAATTTGTATCGCTTTCTTTTTTTTCTTTTTCTTTTTTTTTTTTTGCACCCAGCGGTCCAAGATCGCCGTCTACGCGCGCATGTGGGAGTTCATGAACTCGAACAAGAAAGTGTTCACGTCGTCGTACGAAGAAGGCATCCGGCGGGTGCGCGAGTCCAAGGGCAAGTACGCCTTCCTCATGGAGTCCACCAAGAACGACTACATCAACGAGAGGCAGCCCTGCGACACCATGAAGGTCGGCGGAAATCTCGACGCCAAGGGATACGGTGTCGCCACTCCGCTGGGATCCACGCTCAGGTAGTCATCCGGTCGCGCACGAGGTGGCGCCACCGTCGAATCTATGTTGGAAACTAGATCTGCTACAGTAAAGAAACGCAGGATGCTTCTGGCTTCGTCATAATTCGTTGTTTTTTGCCTTCTTATTGGTTAATACCCCAATCTCATTGACTGCGGAGTTTTTATAAGATGACCGGGACCCACCCCGCCCGGATTGTCAGTGACTGTAGTCACTGATAACTTGTAAAACGGAGGGTGTCGCTTCATAATTTCACGCGTCTGGCTTCGTGGTTCGTATTTCTGCGTTCTTATCGGGTTAATGTCATAGCTCCCTTGGCTGCTGAGTGATTATAAGATGGTATGGGCTCACAAAGCCCACTTTTTCATTGAGTCGTCACTCAAGACATTCCTATTCGTCTCTGATATTAAACTGTCAGATATCCCCTATCACCAATCAAAACACCGCAGGAAAGTCAGATATATCGCGTGACGCTTTAATCAATCGATTTGTCTTTTTCTGCATTTTTTGTTTTGATCTTGTTATCGCAGAGATCGTCTCAACTTGGCGGTACTGTCGTTCAAAGAAAACGGAGACCTGGCTCGACTCGAGAACAAGTGGTGGTACGACCGCAGCGAGTGCAAAACAGGAGACAGCAAGGTCAGTGCTCGTCGGTATATAGACCAAGCTGGTTTCCCTAGGTTAAAAAAAAGTAGTACGCTACACTCTAATGGATTGTCTGCGCGTCTACTTAACCCGCAAAACACTCAAGGAGCCAATCCCTGCGATCTACGAAATCAGCTCAGCGAATGATGAGGCGGAACATCCGTTTATACCTCAAAATGAAGTCTGCGCTGTGGCATTACGCAATGCAAAACGTCGTGCTTGCATTGCGTAATGCCGCAGCGCAGACTTAATTTTAAGGTCTAAACGAATGTTCTACCCCATCATTCGCTGAGCTGATTTCGTTGATCGCAGAAATTGGCTCTTCGAGTGTTTAGCGGGTAAGTAGACGCGCAGGCCTTTCTTAGAGTGTAAGAATATATTAAGCTTCTAATAGTATTTGGACATGCACTTTTAGAACCTACACTGGGCGGCACTTTTAACGCAAAAAGAAGATTGTCAGGGTTATTTTCTCTTTTTCTTTTTGAATTGAAGAGCTATCATCAAAACTATTAGTGCGATGCAAAATGGGGTGATTTGGGGCTAGGTGGCGCAAGCTTCCGCCCGTTATAAAGATTTGAGCTGTTATACTCGCGGTCAGCTTTCTCTGGCAATCCGAAGAGAGGAGGAGAGCGCGTGTACAGCGGTTGGTACACACTCTCCCCTAGCATTGACTGCATTGCCGCAGAAAGCTGACCGCGAGTATAGCATCCATCCATCCATCCATAACCAAATCGGTCAAATCTGATACTCGCCAGTTGCCTTAAAAATTAGAAAATCAGTCGATGTCGTGTTCGTGCCAACAATGCCGCAGTCAGTTTACCTTGGTTGCCAGGCTGGGTCGACGAGCAGACCGCACCGCTGAAATGCGAAGCAAACTTAGTGCATATTACACGTGCCAGTTTAGATATTTAGGAATTGAAATTATTCTAAAAATATACGTTAAGTGATCTCTTTTTTAAGTACACACATTGCATCTTTACCAAGATTTGTCTACTTCACTCAACGGCGTTCCAGCGCACTAATTAATTTTAAGACAGTTACTGTCTGTACTTCAAGTTTTTGTATTGTTTTTCTTTTTTTGTCTTTTTTGTCTACACGCCTTTTTTCGAAGCTTAGATCTACCTCAATTTCCGGCGGATTTTGGAAGAAAACCAAGTGTGCACTGAACGGAAAATCAATTTCCGTTGAGTGCCTTTTGATTGGACGAGGATATGGTCGTTGTCGAAACAACGTCCGCAATGTTCTCGATATCGGTCGGTCAATCAAGTAATTGGTCACATGTTGGCTTTAACGTAATTTTGTTTCCGACGAGTTTTATAACACTATCTTTAGGAACTAAAAAAAGAAAAAAAGTCACTTGAGAAGCTATTACTTTTACTTAGCGGAATCGCTCGGCAGTCGACCCATGGTGTACAGATATTGCGCACAAAAGTTGGGTCTAGGGAACGTTATAACCGGTATTGGGAAGTGCTTTAAGTACATTGTACCTAAAGTACTTCAGTGAGGTTAAGAATACGTGTACTTTACTTGAACTACATCCTCTGAGTATAAACTTCTACTATAATTTAATTTTTTGTACTTTTTGGGGAAAGAATAATTTCCCTCTTCAAAATATACATCCCCAAATTTGTTCTAATTAAATTTGTACCACAAAATGATGCTTTGTCAACTCTTAACCCACTTGACTGTGTCCAATGTTCCCTGCTATTTCCGAAAATAAATGATGCAACAATGATTATCCCTGAAACAATGTATAGCGGTTAAAAAAAAAAAAAGCTGTACAAGGGAGCGAATGGCATCACGAAAGACTGTGTTTGAAAGTACAATGAATACATTACTTCTAGTATATTGCCCCCTGTGTACTTAGGACTTTACTTGAAGTACATAACCTCTCATTTACTTTGTGCTTTACTTTAAGCACCTCTTAGATGTACTTTACCGAACACCGGTTTGTACTAAATATAGTTCCAGGTGCTGAACACGAACATTTGTTGTCATAATTGGCTAGAGAAATGTGGTTTCAGCCTTTAAAAATATCGCCATTTGTGCATACTCATACATATAAAAATTTTAACTGTCCAAAACTAAATTTTCCGTCTGCTTAGCGTCTTACTAGCTTCACAAAAAAGCAACGAACAAACATATTTCTTTTGGTTTGCCTCGTGACTTTATTCTTCATATATACATATCCTAAAAGTTAGGGTATTCGTACTTGACCTGACTTCTAAAACAATTATCCTGATAAACGGTAGAGCGTTTATCGTTTCTTTGTACCCAACGCTCATACGCTGCAATGCCGTCGCAACATTTGTTTTACAGCGGAGCTGCTAAGGGTTAGTTTCCCCAGTATCGTGTCCACCAGCAAACAAATGTCGACACAACACTCTTTAGAGCTACCGCCATCTATAAACGATGGCGGCAACCAGACAACCGGCTTGCCGGTTGTCTGCCGTCGTCGCTTGTAGATGGCGGTAACCTTTCGAGCATCTCCCCTCCGGGTTGGCGACTTGCGGCCGGCCATTACTTCATTTCCACCATAGTACAGCTTCGCTCGTCTTCCTTCTTCACCAGAGTGGAAAGGCTGAAAGATTTTATATATAGTTGTCATGAGTAGGTCAGCTCATGGCACGGTTAAAATAACCCTGCGCTATTGTCGACCACCTAAAGCGACCCAACAGGCAAATGACGCCCCTACCTGCCGCACAGCTATTATAAGAACAGTTCATCAATGGGAAGACAAAGCAAACAGTTCAGGTATCGTCGTTATAGCGCTTGGTGACAGGAACACGTCGATAAAGGTTGCTAATTAGGCGTCCTTGTTCTTCCTATGCGAAAACCAGCAAAAGTAGGAGGTCAACGTTTTGTTTGTTTGTTTGTTTGTTTTTTTTTTTTTCTATATGCATTTTGTTATGGTGCCCGGAACGCATCTCCGACCGACCGGTGTGCTTACCGCGAACAAAAAAAAAAATAGTACCTCGATTTCCGGCTTACCGCGACCGAAAAAAAGTAGACCCTCGATTTCCGCCTGATGGCGTCATGCAAGTGTCACGTCGTCGCAGGCCGCGATCCGGGCGGTTCCACAGCCGCGGCGGTGAATGTGGCAGACGCCTGATCTGCTGCAGGTCGCTCTCCGGCTGTACAGTCCACGGAAACTACGACAGACAGGAGTTGGGACGGCGCAAAGAAAGCGACACTCGCGCCCTCTCGTGCTGCTGTTTCTTTCGTGTGTTTTTTTTTTTTTTTTTTTTTTTTTTTTACACACAACGTTCGACGCTATGACATTCCGTCTTTTGTCACGTCATTTCTTTTTTTTTTTTTGGGGGGGGGGGGATAATTTCTTTTACTAAAAAAAAGTCGGGAGTAAATGTGACCTATTTTTTTAGGGAGCGCGTTGGTATTCCGTGCAATAATTCTACGAAGGAGTTACGCATATAGAGTTACACATAAAGCAGGAAAACAACCGTTCAAAATTCTTAACAAAAAAATTTTTGTTCGTTTTTTTTTTTTTTTTTTTTTTTTTTTGTACGTGAAGAAGGGGAGGGACAAATGGGTGAACAAGGATATCGGATGTAAAACCTCCGCGTCGGCCATTCGCCCGCTCGCTCACGAAATCTCCGGCTTGAAACGTGGGGTGTACTTTGCCTCTACGTAAGTGTCCTTGCTGGGAAGCCACCCTCTCTCGACGGATCTATATATTTTTGTAAGTTTATTTTTAATTTTATTTATGAATGCTAAAAGCTGATTGGAGTGCTGTAGACTTTTGGGTCTAATTTCCCTCTCACCCAACTGGAAAGAAAATAACATATATTAAATATTCGTTATCCTTAGTCACTTAATTTATACCGCTTTTACACGAAATAAAATAGGAAGTCGAAATTGAAGCATTATAGAAAACTTAAAAAATTATGTGTTCATATGCAAAACGCGATTGACATTATTGAGGTAGGCCTAATCTATCCTAAATCAACTTACGACAATCTAATCGAAAGGAGTCTCGTCATGACTTGGCTGTGTTAGGCATTCCTGTTCCGAAACCACGGCTTGCTTCTTTGGGCAACTCAGCTTCGCACGGTGTTGTGTTTTCTCCGCAAGCCCGTTTATCTTGGGGCGAAGCACCCTTTTATGTCACGAAACGTGGCCTTAGAGATTTCTTCAGAAGCATCTCGCGATCGAAAATAGCAATATAAATATAACTGTCTAATGCTAAGTAGCAAAATCCCACTTTTAATTAAAAACAAAAATCTATTTTTAGCTCTTAGATTCCTCGGCCTCTTGCGTGCCACTGCTGACCAACCGTATCGACAACACTTATTGCTTACATGCAGTCAATTCTTTTTGTATGTATTTACTTTCATGTTGCTATTCACCCTTCTTTGTTTGGCCACAAACCCAGTGGCGCCACCTAATGGGTAGCCCCGGCACACTTCCGGTTCACGTATATTTTCACATTTTTTACTGATCGTTATTTTATCATAAGACTGAATTAAGTCTGACAGCGCTATAATTTGTCATCTCTAAAACGGAGCGTGTATATTTGATTTTGCAAATACGGCGAAACCAGCCGTCAAGTTCCGAACCGGAAGTCGTTGGGGGCAATTTGCACACTGGCGCCACCACGTTTCAACTCACGCGAGAAAGAGCGAACATGTATTCTCGAGCGAGAAAAACGTCCTATTACGATTTTTAACATGAATTACTTTTTTTGTATAGTTCTTATTTATCTCTTTTTTTAAGATTGCCGAGATTTCGCAAAACAGCATTTCCTATCTCTTTTACGAATGTCGTTTTTAGTACTTCAACAAAATTAAAATGTCGTCCCATTTTTTTTTTTTTTTTTTTGCTTGTCAAGTTTGCGTTTGGTGCAATCATTTTTGTACTAACAAAACAATGGCCCGAAATTTTTTAAAAAGGTCCAGCCGCCTGCAGAATTGAACACCAAGCTCTGGTTGAAATGATTAGTGGGTAGGCGCAAGGCTAGCTGCCTTTGTCTCTATAGTCACTCCTGGTAGTCATCCTTAAACTGGTACGGACGCCGAACGGAGGCGTCCGGCGTGTTGCGTTCGCGTTCGTCGTTCGCGTTGGAACCCGTTTTCGAACAGCAAGTACAGACAAAAACAGCCAACTTTGCGCCTATCCACTAACCATTCCAGTTAGTGCTCGGCGCTCTGGCGTTCCCGCGCGTCTTTTCTCCTCCTCTCCCTCTATGTCTACCCGTATAGGCTTGTTCGGGGCACCCGAAGCCAACGTTACTATTATGCCTAAGTTGTGGAACTCCCGCGGAGGGTGGCACGGGGGTGCCACCCTCCGCGGGAGTTCCACAACTTAGGTAATCTAGTAACGTTGCCCCCCCCTTTCCCCCACAGTCACTTCAGTCCGCCTTCCGTCGTTTCAAGCGCCATCTAGATTTGTTTCAAACCTGTGTGTTCCATAGAGTATGCAGTGGAACGCCGTCTAGACGCGGCGCTCCGAAGCATACGTGTTCCATAGACTACACTGCAGTTACCAAAACAGCCGTTCGGTGCGTCGAACGACGAGAGGCAAGTCGTGGGCGCAAAAGGGGGGGGGGGGGGGGGGGGGGGGGGGGAAGGGGGGTAGTTATTGCTCGTGCAAGCAGCGTCAGCGAAGCAGTTCCGTTACTGAGCTAATCTAGTAACGTTGCTCAGGGCTCAACAACACTTCTCCGTGATTCTATCGAGCAGTATGCAAATTGAAATCCACTATATCATCGAGGATAGCGGATTAAATGTTGTTTGCGTTCTTGTTCTTTTTTATCTTTTTTTGGCAGTTGTTTTATCCCTCTAAAAGCCCGTCCACACGTTTGCGTTTGCTTAGGACTATAGCGCAGTGTTCGACGCCACGAATTCTAAAGAAAAACGCTCTAACTGGCTCATATTTTTGTACATCCAATTGTAAAACGTTTCTAACATTTTATTTTGTCACAACACTAAGCAATATTCGCTTTTATAATTGACCGCGAAGAGAAAACGCGTTTGCGTTTTCCCATAGAAATGCATGACCGGAAGTCAAATTTAGACTGGTTGCTGTCTAATGCAACAGCACACTAGCGCCACTTGTACCTCTAGCGTTTATTGTAATAACTCTACGGTTGCACCAAAGTCCTTTTGAACCAGCGTGGTCGTCCACAAGGGGGCACCGCAGGTGTGCTTTAGAAATATTTAGAAATTAAATATCGACGTCCGTGGTCAGTAGGACGCGGCCAAAGTGCACACAACCACCGCAAACCACCGCTGAAAACAAAATAAAAATAAAAAGTGATCCAAAGAAGCCGACAGCAAAGTCCAGATGTCCATCTGCCAGGCCTTTAGCTCGCCGTGGGCGTGCTCGAGGGATGACACCAACGTATTCTCTCGTCGTGAGAGATTTCTTTTTTTTTTTTTTTTTAGGTTTCAAGTTACATGGTCGTAAGAAGTCGCAGGTGTGTGAAAGGGCCTTTGTTCTCGCTTGTGACAAGTTTCATGAGTTTAGTGAAAGTGCCTATAAACCGGTCTACGAAAGCGATGTTAAAAAATTTGGTCATAACTAGCAATGGTGAGTTGTATGGATCATTAATATCGTCACTCTCTCCGTGCTGTCATCTTCGCCCGCTTCGTTCAAAGCATGCGCGGACGATATTTTTTTTTTTTTTTTTTTTTTTTTTTTGCTGAATATTAGACGCCTGCGTATGTATCCGCAACTGAGTTACTCCCCATTTTTCACCTTGGGGATAATCACGAGAAAGGTGCGTAGGTTCATTTTGTTTGTCTTTTTCTTTCAGGAGTCTACTCAGAATGAACTGACCTTAAGTAACGTCGCCGGGTGCTTCTACATCCTGATTGGTGGCTTGGTGCTAGCCATGGTTGTGGCTCTTCTAGAGTTCTGCTACAAATCACGACTTGAAGCGTCCAGATCCAAAGTAAGTAGGGCTACAATGGGCAAGGTTAAAGCCAACTTAAATATAACGTGAAAATTAAAAAAAAAATGACATAGACAAACGCAGACGGAGAAAAACTCTCTCTCAAAACTTAGCAACAGTCTGTTTGAACCCGACCCTCCCCTTCTCGAGTATGGGGTCGTCATAAAGTCTGTAAACTTACCACTACAGAACCAAGTCCTTATATTCGGTATAATCTAATGTATTGCTACTTTTGCTTGCCATAAAATATCAAAATATAATAATAATAATAATTATTATTATTATTATTTGTTTATTTAATGTGCCCAAAAACCACAACGCGGGTTTTAATATAATTAATATAGTGAAGTCTTTTGACTTGTGGAAGGCTAAACATTGCCTGCGTGCAGTTACATTTGTCTTAACTTCCCACTGGCTATTGGTTACCGCAACACTTATTCCTCATTTGTATTCCTGTATTAAAACATGAGTTTCGTGTGTTTTTATAGTTTTATTAGTAAATATAATTCATGAGTTTGACTAGCACGTCGGATTACTACTCAATACGAAGAGAGCAAAACGAAAACGTCTCTGTCTCTGCCCACTGTTCGTGTTTTGCTTTCTTCCTATTATATATATATTTCTTACTTAAAAAGAAAATCGTGTTTCAATATAAATGCTTAAAACGAAATTCACTGAACTACCAACATTAGGTACCGCGCTCATAACAAACAATCATTCCGCGAGAAACTAAAACAAAAAAACGACAAATCATTAAACATTATTGAGCTGAAACGCTGAAACATACGCGTCGCATAATATAAAAAACGCAAGTATGGTCTTCTTTTGTTGAGTTTTAGATTTATTCACACGATCGGTCTTCTCCTGGAGTCTAGCGTTGATAAAAGGGTTACATTACCTTTAATTGTTTAATAAGAGTCTGGTTAATCACCATCGCGCGTGTCCTTTCTAAATTGTCTTTGTCCCCTGGACCTTGTAAAGATGTCCATTCGCCAAGGTAGAAAGATTGATATTGCGTTCCGAAGAATGTAAACCGTGAATACGTTAAATTTCAATTAAATATTTATCTTACTTATCTCATATCCGTGTCCCCTTGGCAACATTAAGCTGTCCGCAAGAAAAGATATAAAAGAGTGATCGCGTATGGGTCTAGAACAATATGACAGACTACCGCATTTAATCAACCTCTTTTCTTTTCTTTTTTTTTTTTTTTTTTTGCTTCAAAACATTGTACGGTGATTATACTTTCTAACGCGAATCGCCAAGAAACTTAAAATGTTTCCTTTTCCTTTTACTTTTTTGATAGCGCATCTTTTTTTTCCCTGCCGTTAAGCCGTGAAAGCGCGAAATACTGTCGTAATTTTCGTTTAAAGTAGAGGCAACGTCGTTGGCGAGTTTTCCAGTCGAAAAAAAAAACACATATATGTTTTTACACGAACTTGCGAAGAGATTCCGTTATGTGAAGGTTATTTTACCTGTTTGGTTTTTGTTGTAAAATTCTCACTACGTTTAAAAAAATTTATTCTTAGCAGCCGTTGTTTTTTAATGCGTATTTTTTTAATAATTTGCTTATGTCTTAATTATTTTCAACATCTCCATCACTTAAAAAGACATTAATTTTCGCCGCACTCCCGCGACGACCATACAGGAAGAAAAAAAATAATAAAAATCCGTTTCCAGAACTAAACAAGTAAAAAAAAGAAATCAATTTCGTTTCGTGCCACCACCGTCTTTTCTTATGTTCAGCATATTCACTTTTGTATTTCAAGAGTCGTTTTCTACACACGCCATAAATCAACCGTCTTGAAATGTCCCGTAGCACACCCCAACGGTCGCCGGGTAAAAAGAAGAAAAAAAAAACATTTTAAACACGGTGGGCGACAAAGCGGAATAAAAACTCACCACTCATCTCCTGAATTCAGACGGCTAAGGCAAACATTTCGCTTCATTTTATAACAAAAAATAAACACGTGCCCTTTTTTCGCTTCTCTATAAGCCATCTTTTATTCCTAAAAAAAGAACTATATATCAGACTTGTACGTAATCCGTTACAAGTAACGAAATTACTTGTAATCCTTTACATTTATCAGTAATTTAGTAACGGAATGATTACATATTTTCTGGAGTAATTTTAAAGTAATTCCCTTACATTTTTTACGTAACGGATTCCTTGTAATCCGTTACATTTTTTTTCCAGGACCGACCAACCCCCCCCCCGTCTAAAGAATGGATCGTTTTTATTTTGGTAAAGTCGAGCGCAGTGACACTGTCCCGCGAATTGACTGGCGCAAAGGGACGCTTGGCACTCTTCAGTTCCGCAAAGCCTTTTTTTGCAACACCAAGCTCCTGAATTAATTTTTTTAGACCTTAACGAAAAATTCAAATAATCATTTCTAAAAAAAAAGGGGGGGGGGGGGGGGTGCAAGTTATATCCGTTTTTTTAGTCCCTTTGTTTTTTTGTTTTTTTTTCGATCGAAGACGGGGAGAGGAGGACACCAAGTGATTGTGTGCCTCCTCGAGAAGCTCGAGGCGGTAAGGGCACAGACAAGAATTAACAATGTCCTCGGTTATAGTGACTGCGACCATTTTCATAATGTCACAACACGAGACAACGCTCCGTCTACCCTAATATCTACAAAAAGAGATCTGATACTATGTGAAGGTGTTATTGCCATAAGCATCCTCGTTCGTTGCTGCACACTTATCACCTTCTCTTAGGAAATAGGATGTATTTTTTTCTGCATCTTTCACATTATTGGGCCCTGTTTTAAAAGCTACTTAATTCTTTGTAGTCCAACTTCTAGGGTTGGCACACTTTATTTGTGAATACCAGCCAGGTTATCCCCATCCCAGTCACCGTCTTTTTGTGAGTCAGCTTTTTGCGAGCACTTGGAAAATGGTAACAGTCTTCATTTCTTCTTCTTCCTGTTTTGCCCCAGCAGGACGCATCTTATCTCAAGCAGATATTTTTACAAATAACGCATAATGGTGGCTGACGTAGACTTGATACTCTGGGCTTGAGGGGAGAGTGAAATTCGTGAGTGGGACCATGCGCGGCCTACTTAGTACTCTGCCCTTCGCTGCCCGTGGCATTAGCCGAGGTCTATTTGGAGGACACCGGAGTAAACTGCAGTCGATTCGTGCTCCGTGCGTTTTTGAACGGTACCAAGAAAGGCACACACGGCAAACGTGCGCTTACATTTTCTTGTTTTAACCGACGTTCTAATTAATTGTTCTTATCAGTGTACCTTTTTTATTACTTATATTTATATACTGGAAACTTTTTTTTATTCACCAACGTCTCAACCGAGGCTCGACCTGTTCAGAACCAAAGGAAGAAGAATATCGAGCCAAACCTTATTTATTATTTAATATTCTCTTACTGTTGCAACTATGTTTTGCTATTGTCTGGCAATATATGTCGGTACAGTAAGATGGACATAAATCAATTCTTATTCTAGTTTTGGCTAGATGTACAAGACTTCCACAGCTTCGCGATTTAGACAATGAAGAATTTTAGTAGATCGTCCCGATTAGTCCGATAACGATACCCGATACCCCGCCGCCGCCTTTGCGCATGCATCATATCGTTATCGGGGGCATCGGAGGTATCGGAACCATCTACTACAACTCTCATACATCAGGAAACGGCTGCAACGACGAAGCTTTGTTCTATCTTCTTCGCTGAAGAAGCTCAGTGCAGAGAATGAAGCATTCGTGAGGAACAATACCGTACTCCCATCCGGTGCCTCAGTTCAAGGGGTGCTCAGCGTAGCAGTCGACATATTGTGTAAGAAATAACGCAAAATGTCTGTCGAGACTTTCGAGGGCCAGCTGTTCCTCAAAATAATCAAGGTCATTAAATGGAACACGTTGCAACAATAAGAGCTTGAATAACCCTCTTCCCTTTGTTTCTTACTTGAGGACAATAATGTAGAAAGTAACGCCACGAAAGTAACGGATTACTTTTTGGGGTAACGGTCAGTTACTTTTATGGGAGAGTAATTGTAATTGTAATAAATTACAATTTAGCCTTGAGTAATTGTAAATGTAATTCCTTACTATTTTTCAGTAACGTGTACAAGTCTGCTATATATCTTCGTCGTTCCCCTATGCCCTAATAGTTTCACTTTGCCCCCCCCCCCCCCCACACACACACACACTTCTTTCTTTCTTTTTTTTCCCATCTTTTTTAGAAAAAAAATATATTAAAGGAATGTACTAGCTTAATTTTACTTTTAAGGCACAAGTCAGTTATTATATCTTCAACAATAAAAAGTGGTGACGCAGACATGTTCCTGTCGTTTACAAGAATTCAGCTTGGGAACGTCAAGATGTCTCCTGAAAAACGTTCCACCCACGGATGCTTTCAATAGGACGGCCCTGCCGTATTACTTTCCAAATAAATGAGGAGGTGCGGTCTTGGAACAAAAGACCTTTCCTACTTTTTTTTCTTTCTTCTTATTGCGGTCCGCTAGAAGTGATGACACGGTGGTCGCTGTTAAGCCCTGGCCGTTCTCGCTTCGCCAAACTTCCCACACTTATAGAAATGGCTTCTCTCCACCTCGTCTGCTAGATCTGCTACCTCATCTTTTATGTTGCCGCTCTTCTTAACGTAATATGCCTCTGCTTGTCCTTTTTTTTATATTAATTTATGTTTGGTTTTGCTCTTTGTCAGCCCTGCTCATGGTTCTTTTTTTCTTTTCGTCTCACCTCCTCTTTATTATTATTTTTTTGCCTTTCGTTTTTTTTATATTATTATTTTGGAGGCCTGAGGCACCCCAATGATGGTTGTCACAATTTCCTTTTTTTTTCATGTTTATATTATACGTATGCTTACGCCTCATAGTTTTGTTTGTAGTCTATAATGTTTCTTGTAACCTTAGTTGTTGTTTCTTTCTTCTCTACTTTGTTTTACCAAATTTTTGCTAGCTCTTGAGACCGTTGTTTAATCCCCAGACCATGTGTTTTAATTCGTCTGTTTCTTTCAACTTCCATAC